AACACAAAAACGGGGTGAAAGACCGAGGCAAGGCTGAAAGAAATACTCTCATTTTTGTTGTGTTGCGCCTGAACGTGCACGACCAGCACAGAGGGGACTGGCGAGATGCGATCAATTCTGCAGGCGAAGAAGAAGCGGGGAAAAAAAACACAGGGCACAAACCGCCCAAAACAAAACGGACCCCACTGACCTCTGACCTCGCTGCCGGTCAGCTGGACACCCCTGCAAGCGACGCAGCCCCCCTGCAGCACCGACAGCGTCTCGTCTTGCATTTCTGTTTGTATTCCGGCATTCCTGAAGAAAACCAGTCAACACCTGACCAGGTAGCCTTGGGATCACACAGGCGTCAGGGATGTGAGGAACGGACTCTGGAATCTTAACCTGAGAGGCCAGGGGGGCAGAAGGTTTTCATCATGTACAGCTAGGGTATTCCAGCTCGAAATAAGAGATCGACACAGTCGTGCTCCTCACTAACAGCAAATGCTGCTGGAAACGTGCAACCCCACACAATGTACAGCACACAGATCCTGGCTCTGTACTGCAAGTGTTTAACAAGCAAGGAGCTCAAGGGGTGGGCAGGTTGTGGGCACTGGACGCGAGGGCCAGCTGACCAGGCGGACAGAGCTCAGCTGTAAGAGCATGTTTACACAGAACCTGACAGGACGTAAAACTAACAATAAAAAGGGTAAGAAATACAATCCCCAAAATTTTAACAAAAACAGCAAAGGGATTAAAAATACCTCCAACTGAGGAACATGCAGAAGATGAACATTTAAAGAGGGAAAACAGAGCAAACCCCCTCTCCCCTCCTCCAGAGGGACAGAGGAACAGCTATATGAACCCACTTTTAGACTAGTTTTCCTCTTTGTACAGTTTATTTTTACAGCATGCGTCTCTTATGCTTTTCAACAATCAGGGTAAAGCACCACTCCTGCGCTTGAAACAAGGGGCAGCGCTCCGAGGAACTCCCACTGGACACCGGCGGGGGCTTGGGACAGCGAGGACACAAGGACCTCCGGGGTCCTGAACCGCGAGATCCAGTGCTGGACCACCACCATCCCAATGCCTTAGGAAATTCCTATATTTCCAGTGAACAGAGAAATGGGGAAACATGGCAGCTCCTTCAAATGAAGCCACTTGAAGCTCAAATCAAACGGGCTACAGCTCCCCAAGACTTTGCTGAGCTCGAAACGTTTTACCTTCTCCTGGTCAAGAGAGGACGCCGATGAGCCTCGGAAAGGGTGGGCCAGCCTGTTCATCCAGGTTCACCCGGGAGGTCCAGGCACCAACTGCAGTGGGACCCCTGGTATTCATTCCACCTCCGACGCCAGTTACTTAATTCAACCCATTTGGATAGGATGTCTTTTCCGGGGGGCTTAATTGTGCATAGAGAAACGCAGATAAACCCACAGGTTTTGCCCGGTAGGTCTGGGGGTGTACAAGACGGTCCCGTCCCCCCAGGCTTTGAAGGGAGCTGTTCTGAGACTCAGGATAGCCGACACTCGAACAGAGGAAACGGGGTGACAGCGCTGCTGCCCCCTAGTGTCACGGCAGCCAGGAGAACCACAGCCATCCAGGCGCATTACGACACCATCAGCCAATCAGGCAGCCGCGTGCTTCGTGTCAGACTGAGCTCCTGTCACAGTTCAAATGAAAACCCTCCGTTCACAATCAGCTCAACTTCCTCGGGGGATGAAATACCGGCACCTCTTTGCTGAACTCTTGTCACACAGCCTTAAGACATCCAATTCATTCTAAGCACAGTCCCTATAGAGATTTATAGGCCCAGTGAAAAGCACTGCATTTCTCCAATTAAGAAACCCACTGTGTAATCCAGTCTGGAATTTAGTTTTAAACCCCAAATTCAACAGCTAAGGACTGATCCAGACCAATTAAACCAAGTCATTAAAAGCTGGAGCATGGTAAGGGGCAGGAAGATCATATCTCTGGAATTCCAGGGCCATGCAGTTAGAACTGTATCTGGGAAACAAACAGCACATGGCTCAAGTACGATTCAACATTCTATAAGTACTATTATTTCTAGTCCCTTAATAGGCTTGGGTGGGTAATATTTCACTGAACACTGCACTTCAGATGCTCAGACGCAGGGAACTGTAGGAGATTGTGTGCCAACCAGGCACAGGGGAATCAGCAGGGCTCCTCTCCAAAAACTAGTGACCAGGGATCTAGACAAGGGCTCCTCAGGCCAAACCTTTAAGGGCCACAAGCAATTAATGGCCTTAGCAATTTTACACCACTGAACCTCAGCTATGTAAACTTACAAAGTCAGGATATTAACCTTGAAACAACGGTGTACACTTGCGCACTTGATCTGGTGTGCTGTTTATTCCTCCGAGAGATGCAGCTGTGCACTCTTCACAGACGCAGCTCAGTTACGAGTTTAAACCATTTTTTTTCAGTTCTCGGCTTAACCAAAAAAAAGATCTTAAGGGCTCCCGTGTGAATCGTGCTGCTTCTGTACAAGCCCGGAATTCCTTCTGCGCCCT